AAAAAAAAAAAAACAAGTAAAATATCTATTGAAGAAATTGATTTATACTTAAGACATTTTTTGGGGCTTCTAGAAATTAAGAACTGTCATTCTTGTGGACCAACTCTTAGGATTAGGGTTTTGGAGCGACAGGTACCTCTCTAGGGTTTCCATTCCTACTTAGGAGCCTATGTTCCCCCTTTTGCCTAGTTCACTTCTTTTGATTTTGTTTTCATTGTCTACATTAATTGGAAGCTTGCCTATGTTCCTTAACCCTAAGAATTTGAAGGTAGTTGAGGAGGCAAACTTTACAAAACATTGGGGGCATAAAACAATGTATAGCTTGACTTAGGTGTCCTATTCAATTGGTTTTGGTTTAGAATAAGAGCAATGGCAAAGGACCTCTAGAGTTGGCAACTAATGACCTTGGTGCTATAATAGGCCACATAGGGCTCATTAAAGCTTGCAAACATAAGGCATTCTTCCTCTCCATGAAGTCTGGAAACATGAGGGATATATATATATATATATATATATGCTAGGGAAGTTGTATCTTGTGGGTAAGGTTCTATCTCACAACAAAATCAATTTGAATGGCTTCATGGAGTCCTAAAAAAGCTATTAAATTTTTAAAATTGGTAAAAATCTTTATCTATTTCAATTATTGGATATCAAAGATCTCAATACAATTCTTCATAAGGCTCTATGAAATTTTTGTGACTCCTTGATTATATTAAAAAGATTTCAAGCATCTCTCACCCTTGAATAGTATGATTTCAACACAAACCCTTTCTAGGTTTGTATTTTTGATGCTCCTATTGGCCTCCATTCAAAGAAAATTGAAAGTATGATTAGTAATTGATTAGGTAGGGTTTTGCAAGTAGATGAGGAATATAGCAAGGCTTTCCCAGTTATACAGTTGATCTTGAAGTGGATAAACCTTTTAAAAGTTTAAGACTTCTCAAATAATAATCACATAAAATAGGAAATTTCAACTCAAGTACGAAAGGCTCCCAAAATTTTGTTTTGTTTTTGTGTTGGACACTATGAAAATGACTATGAGGTTGCTTCCAAATTAAAGAAACCAAGGGGAAGGTGATATGGTGTTTTGGCTCTTGGTTAAAGGCTAAATTAGAGAATTTGTGGTGCTTGGATAATTTTGATAAGCTTGATGAATCTTTCTCAGCTACCATTCATCTCTTATTTGAAGAAAAAGATAAGGATGTTGAGGTGATTTCAGACATAATAACTTACTTAATGCTAATAATAATAGGCTCAACAATTCCCTTGACATGGAGTTCAATGATGGCAACTAAGTGGATGATAAGGGGATTAAGAAAGGTATGGATTAGGTAGAGAAGAGATCAAATAAGCTTATGCAAAGTAATCTTGATTCCTCTCAAGTTGTGCTTCCTTTGGGGGAGGATAATTTGCTTGAGACTCCTTTATCTCAAGAATTTAGCTCCATAAGAGGCAAGGATAGGAATGGATGTGGATCAAGTAGTAGAAATTGGAAGAGGTTGGACTATGGCATAAAAAACTCTTCAAGCAAGGAAAAGAACAAGCATGGGAAGCAAAAATACATATCCATACTTGTGGAGGGGGAGAAGGCATCTAAAGTGCTCATTGGCAACTTAGGTGTGGCCTTAGTTGGAATGAGTAAGGGCCATGACTTGCCTATAAGATAAGTTCATTAAACTATTGAGACAATATTTAGTGGGATGGGGACTATTGTTGTTGTAAATCCCTATTCTCCCTACAAAGTTGGCTTAGTAGGTGTGAATATGTTGTAGTTTAGGATGCTCATAGAGACTTTATTTCTACATTTATAGTCTTGTTATGCCCATACAATAATTATTATAGCCAACCTTAGTTACAGATAACTCTCTTTACTTAATTGTCTAAATTCTTTAATTATGAATTTAGTTCAAGTCGATATATAATTAGTGCTATAGGTTATGTTTTAGTTTTTACACTATAGTGTCATACTATAGAAATTTTGTTGTAATCACTTTTTTAATTTTCAATAGTATCTCTATTTTTCATTTTTTTTAAAATCCTTTTGCAAAGCTTTCTCCCAAAAAAAAAAACATCTTTTGAGAGGCTAGAAAAGATTGTATAGAAAAAGATTAAGTATTTGTTTAGGTAAAAATTAGTAAATGAAAGGAAAGGGATGGGAGAGAAAGAGAAGGAAGGAGAGAAATGGTTGATAGTAACCTTATTTGGATAGGTGAAAATGAGGGAGGGAAAGATAATATTTTTATTTAATTAAATAATTTAATGAAAAATAAAATAAAGTGAAATAAAATTTTAAAATTTATTAATGAAAAAATTGAAATTAAATACTTTTATATATTTATTTATTAAAAATTTTAAAAATATTAAAATATAAACCAAACCCTTTTCAATCTTTCCAATTTGAAAGGACAGAAAACAGAGTAGAGGGGATTTCATCACCCTCCTTCTCCCTCCCTCTTCATTAATGAAATACAAATGAGGCAAGGGAGACATCTTTTTCTCACTCCTCTTCCTTCCCATTCAAATCATCCCTTAATCCAAATACACCATAAAAAATTGGCTAAAGAGAGAAACTTAAAGAAAAAAAATTTTAAAATAAAAAAATAAATGCATTAAGAAATGAAATGTAAGCGAAAGCGATGGAAAAAGATGCGCTAGTGGTCCCAAAAAAAGGGGGAACAAATTGCATATAATTGTCACGCCCAGGCCACCACAAGCAGCCGTGTTTATGAAATGTGTGAGTTTCGAATTTCCTAAGCGAGGGCCTTCACTGCCTTTTATTTAATAGTTGAATGAACCTTTCATGCTCTCTTTCTTTTTCTCTCCCCAAAAGGTAGACATCCACAAATTAATTAACAAACAGTGAATACATAGCTCCACCACGTTAAAGTATAAAGGTTTGAGTGTCTGTTTAACCAGGTTTTAAAAAGAGCTTCTTCTTTTTTTCCTTTGAAAGACAAAAAAAATTAAAAAAAAATTATTATTAATAAGTATAAGAAGTACTCAAACCTATATATATATATTTTGAACTGATCATCCCAGTTCCAACAAGATGGTTTGCTCAATTTTCAGAAGCTACACATAAGGAGGCCAATAACCCAATCTGAAAATGAGCAATTCCGGACTTTAATTCTATCTACTAGCCACAGGAAAGATCTAACTTGGATTAGATCAAACATCCTCATAGCATCCATCTCCTCATTGCTAAAAATTTTACCATTTCTTGTCAGCCAAACTGTCCATACCAATGCAAACCAAACCGCATCCCTGCTTTGCCCTTGAATACAGAAGTGAGCTGTATGTTGGTCCAAAGCTTCCCAACAGTTGTTCTCATTTCCTTGCTGAAATTTCCACCAGTTGTAGCATTTATTCCAGATCATATTCACAATTTTGCATTTTAAGAACAGGTACTCTATCTTCAACATGCTCCTTGCTTAAACAACAGACCAATTCAGGAGCTGGAGTGATTATTCCCCTTTTAAATAGTTTTTAAAATAGTTTCTTACTAGATCAAACACAAATTCAGAAAAGTATTTTTCAGTGTGGAACTGCACTTTTTTTGTGTAGTATGGATATTAAAACTACTAAAACTTCCTTATTGAAAGTGCTCTCCATGTGTGTGCATTAATGATGTTTTGGTAATTTTAGCATTCAAATTGCACAAAAAATTTGCAGTCTGTAGTAAAAAAAAACCACTTTTCTCATACAATTTTATGAAAAATGCTTCAATCTATTTAAAGTTTAAAAGGGTATATATGTTACTCTTATTATTAAATCATTTGTTTTCAAACTTATGGATTTGATCATTTTTATAATATTTAAATCTTAAAAAATATTTTACGTAAATTGATAATCTATAAAACAATACATAATTAAACTAAAACTAAAATTAAGCCCAACAGGATCTCAGTATGAGATTTTTGGTTCAAGCTTTCTGAAACAATTGATTTGGAGAGTGAGAGAGAAATGCCCCATTTTACATAAAGTTCAAAAAGAAAGAGTGAATACCTTAGTTATGGCATAAGCTGATAAAAGAAACCTTAGTATGGCAAAAGCGAACTTATTTAACTTAGGGATGATGATATTTCCACCTCCTCTACCTTAGGATTGCTTAATAGGCTAAGAATTTGATGGCTTATTGTGGTTCGTGGTTTTAGTTTTGGTCTTCATATAAGATGATTGGTACATACTCAATTGAACACATTTTTTTTATATTTATTCAGTTTAATAATTAAATATATATAATATAAGTATAGTCAATTT